TCAAAAATAGGATTTGGTAGCTCACATACTTGGCAAAGTTTTCCCCTAAAGAGAATGTCAGCACAGGTCAGAGAGAATATCTTCGGCATACTCTAACCTCGACCTATTCTCCCTTCGTTCCCCTCCCCTCATTCTTGCCTTTCACTCCTCCAACCCATCCTCCCTCACTCCTCTCGCGCCCCATTCTCGCCCTATCCGCCAACACTGCAACGCTTTATAACTCACGCAACTCATTTAATAATGATCTGCAATTAACGGCGTTGTTGTCTTCTAAGTACGTCTGCAATCCCTGATCTGTGATCAGTGTCCAGATTCCGGTCGCTCGTTGAATGCCTGCGCGCAATAAAACGCAGACATAGCTATCATCATCATTCAGGTGCACTGGGGATTGCACATACATCGCAGAGCGGGACATGTTTGATGGTGTTATTTAAGCATTTTTTTACAGTAATATAAAGAATATAGTAGCATAATAATTTTCTTACAAAATATTAAAAAAATTGAAGGTTTAACTTTAGGGTTTAAGAAAAAATAATAGGATATCATTTTTAGCTGAAATTACAATTTGTTTTTAAGTTGTCCGGCTAAATTGAGCGGGCCCACGCTCGCCGAGCGTTAGTAGCTGGCCTTCTTTGTTTCACCCTTGGCTCTGATACCGCATCGAGTTGTGCTGCACAGAATGGAAAATCGTGTCGTACTTATTAGTCTGTATCTCAAGATTAGCGGGTGTATACAGGAAACGATTTCGGCATGATCTAGCGAATGTACTGTGTAGCGATTTTGAGCTCACGAAGTTGTATGAGTTAGCAATAGTAGTAGGTATTATAAGGCTAGTAAATGACGAATTTTCCTTGTTTATTGAAGTCACACTCCTTTCCTATTATCTACTCCTGATGCTGATCAATGACCCAGGTGGGCGATTCCATTTGAAAGTGTACATGAACATAGGACAATAAAATTACAATTTCAGCTAAAAATGATATACTATTATTTTCTTAACACCCTAAATATAAACCTTCAAATTTTTTTACTATTTTGTAAAAAATTTAGATTACTGTATATTACTTTGTATTTACTGTAAAAAATGCTTAAATAACACATCAAACTGTCTCGTCCGACATGTATGGAATCGCCCAGGTGCACCTGAATGATGATGATAGCTATGTCTGGTTTTATTGCTGGCAGGCATTCAAGGGAGCAGACGGATCGGACACTGATCAACAGATCGAGGGATTGCAGACGTACTTGGAAGGAACAACGCCGTTAATTGCAGATCATTATTAAATGAGTGCGTGGTTATAAAGCGTTGCGGGTTGGCGGATAGGGGAGAATGGCGAGGAGAGAGTGGAGGGGAGGGAGGGGAGGGAGGGTTGGAGAGTAAGGCAAGAATGAGGTGGAGGGGAAGAAGGGAGAATAGGACGAGGTTGGAGTATGCGAGATATTTCTCTTCTGATTGTGACATCCTCTTTAGGGAGATATTGCCCAGTTATGTGAGCTACCAAATCCTATTTTGTCTATGTGTAAATAAACAACAAGTCATATGTAAATCAGTCCTCTGCGTATCTGTTCGATTTTCACCTTCCGCGACTCTTACACCATAATGGCAGACGAATTGCATTATGACGTCGCCGATATTTTCAGATTGCGATATTTGCCACGCTGGTGCGTGGTTTCGATCTGTATGTATTGTTCTCAGGTTTCGATGACAAGGTCGCCTTAAAGGTCACATGGTTGAGGTCATGTAGCGCCCCCTAGAACTATAAACTATTCCCGGCTGCAATATGCAAGAAATGGTAGCGTGGAAAGATTTGTGTTTAATTTTTAGCAACAGGCAAAATCTTCATTGAATTTATATAGAGTGCTCGACTCCCGATTGTTTTGATGTGGAAAATGACAATGTCACAGCCTCGCATTAATAATTAGTTATAACTGTCTAGTTTCTCTAGCTACGAATAATGTGGCTTAATTTATAGCACCAGTTCTCTGTGCGCACATGCCTAATATCTGTTAAAAAACACCAATAAAAAATTATTTTCTTGAGATTATATATTCGAAATGAAGAGAAAATACTCTCGAATAGTGTGGTGTAAAAAGTTCGATTACAATGCATTACTTTAGCAATGCTAAGGTGCACTGGCTTCCTGACAACCTAGGTCCCTGCTATGTAATATGAAATAATGTATAACTATTTCTGCCGTAAGTCGGCGCTAGTGTCGCGCACGTGTAGCGTATCAGCTCTGATATCAGACACACTTACACACGGCACTTGACGTTCAATAAAAATAATGCTAAATAAATATCGAAATCTATTACTACCAATCCTTAATGTTTCTATACTCTCTTTACGTAATATTCCCAGACAATTTTCCTGCACAAATTCACGCCCAAATACTCATCCTGCACACAAACAGTTGGTTGCCGCCATGGCTGCCGCGCCCTGATGTATTAAAAAAAAAAGCACAAAAAATAACAATTAAAAAAACATTAGTATGTCATTGATTGTTTTGTGTGCAGCCGGCAGCCAGCGTTTGCCTCTCTCTCTCTCTCTCTCTCTCTCTCCTCTCATGCCTCTTCTCTCTCTCTCTCTCTCCTCTCTTCTTCTCGTCTACTCTCTCTTGTCATTCCTTCCCCTCTCTCCCCCCGTCTTTCTCTCCTCATCTCTCTCTCTCTCTCTCTCTCTCTCTCTCTCTCTCTCTCTCTCTATCTCTCTTTCTTCTGGCTAACAAAATTAATCTTCTTATTCAACACTTGGCATTACGTACGAGAAAAAAAACGCGCCACCCTCCGCCTCCCCTTGCATGCCTAGCGCTACATTAGCAGCTGCTAACTTGCCGCCACCCGTAGCACGCATGCTCACGCTGCACTCAACAACGCACCACCCGCATTAGAGCTGTCCCAAGCCACTACTGTTGCACTGCAACCCTAATCATCACACTGACGTGACATTGTACTGCAGCAGGAGCGAAGATGCGGATGCAGCGAAGCGACTGCGGATAAGAATAACCTAGCGCGCGTGTCAATAGTTAGATTTTTTGTCTTTTCTTTTTTTTCTGTTTTTTGTTTTGTTTTTTTGTTTTTGCCTTCTGTCCCTCACGCCGTGCATCAAACAATATAACAAATGACAGACGGCAGTGCATTTCCCGCGAATCATAGCTCAGCTCACAGGCACTTGGGAGCGTTTCAATAAAAAGCACTGCTAAATAAATCGAAATCTATTTACTACCACAGCTCTTAAAGTTTCCGAACCTCTCTTTCGCCTATTATACCCGACAATTTCCTTGTAACACTTCCGTGCAAAGCCGATGCAGTAAGATATATAAACTACGGAATTTACAGAAATTGTCGGCAATAATATGCGAAAGAGAGTCGAGAAACCATTAAGACTTGGTATAAATAGATATCGTATTATTAGCATGCATATTTTATGAAAGCTCCCATCCTGTGCACTTAAGCACCCAGCACATGTGACAAGAGTCAGAAGCAAAGTTGCAACCATTATCATTACCGCAGAAAAAAATGAAACTGAAGATAGCGGTAGAATTGTTAAAAGATCACAAAGATCACTAATGACCTAATCAGTTTATTACATTAGTATAAATTCCTGACCCACGAGAACGTCAAGTTTGTAATGTCGTGAAATGACCCGTGACGACCTTCAGATGCTCAGCATGGGCGAAGAGAGTCAAGCCGTCACGAAAGCTCGCTTATAAAATATAAGACACGTTATTTATATATTTTTATTTTACATATCAACCCTCACTATATATATACTGATACAGACTAACCTAATAAGTATTATATATATATGTATATATGTGTTATATAAACATGATATACAATGCACCACTCTGTCACGTAGCGTTTCCATTGACATGCAGCATAACGTACGTGACTACTTCGAACAATTTGATGTGCTGCCGTTGATCGCATGGTTAACCCATACAAATTCCATTCGTTCTATATTTAATACATACGTCATTTCATTTATACACCGATGAGCATTCACACGGCGTGTGCTTCCGCGCACTTACCATCGGTAACACAGGTTAGTCATCATTTAAATTAGATATTTTATTCTATATCTTATTTTATTCTAAACCTGCGATTACGCATCACCGAGACGTTTGCCGTCACCAACAAGGGGAAGTATGACCTTCAGCATTCTGTGATCTTTTGGCAGTTGTGACCTTCAGACTGATGTCACCATGCTGTGACCTTCAGACTGATGTCACCAATGCTGTGACCTTGATCATACCACGACCTTCAGCCACCGACCTTGAAAATGCCGCGAGATCTTCAGCACTACTATAGGTGGTGAAGAAACGGACAAGATGAAATAGAAACACATTCGGCATGCGTCATCTATTGCCACGCGATGGTTATATGGGGTGGGGGGCACATCAGAGGGCGCTGCGCACGCACGCCGACATCTCAGAGGATGGTGGTGCTCTCCTCGCGCGACACCGGCTTGCGGGCCTTCTCCCCGACGGACGATCTTCCATAAGAGGAGGACGAGGAGGAGGAAGAGGTTGGAGCCGACAGCTGAACGCCAGCTGCGTTCTCCGAGCTGTAATATTGAGATGAAACACATCCAAAATAAGCTCCCGTACTCGCTCTCCTACTGATCCCTGTAGTAGAGCTGGGGATCCGCTTAAAACTTGACCTTTGCATCTTAAACTTTGTAATTATTACTTTCATCTGGTTTTTCCTGGACTACGGATATCCTACCTGATATATAGAGTTAGTAAACTACAGATAACTTATCTGACATATAGGGGATTGTTAGTAAACTACAAATAACCTACCTGATATATAGGGGTTGTTAGTGATCTACAGATATCTTATCTGATATATAGGGGGTTGTTAGTAAACTACAGATAACCTACCTGATACATAGTGGTTGTTAGTGATCTACAGATATCTTATCTGATATATAGGGGGTTGTTAGTAAACTACAGATAACCTACCTGATACATAGTGGTTGTTAGTGATCTACAGATATCTTATCTGATATATAGGGGGTTGTTAGTAAACTACAAATAACCTACCTGATATATAGGGGTTGTTAGTGATCTACAGATATCTTATCTGATATATAGGGGGTTGTTAGTAAACTACAGATAACACACCTGATATATAAGGGGTTGTTAGTGAATTAC